TTTGGCGGTGATGAACTCCTTTAGCCTTTTTCTTTGTGAACTCTGTCTGACCTTCAATTCTAAATGATAGCTTTGCTGGGTAGAGTTATCTTGGTTATAGGTCCTTGCTATTGAGCACTTTGAATATTTCTTGCCACTCCCTTCTGGCCTGCAAAGTTTCTGTTGAGAAATCAGTTGACAGTCCTGTGGGTACTCCCTCATAGGTAACTAACTGCTTTTCTCTTGCTGCTTTTAAGATTCTCTCTTTGTCTTTAACCTTTGGCATTTTAATTATGATGTGTCTTGGTGTGTCCTCTTTGGATTCCTCTTATTTGGGGTTCTCTTCGATTCCTGGACTTGTAAGTCTATTTCTTTCGTCAGGTAGGGGAAGTTTTCTGTCATTATTTCTTCAAGTAGGTTTTCAGTATCTTGCTCCCTCTCTCTTTCTGGCACCCCCATGAAGCAAATGTTGGTACACTTGAAGTTGTCCCAGAGGCTCCTTACACTATCTTTGGGTTTTTGGATTCTTTTTTCGTTTTGCTCTTCTGATTTGGTGTTTTTTGCTTCCTCATATTTCAAATCGCTGATTTGATTCTCAGCATCCTCTACTCTACTCTTGATTACTTATAAATTATTCTTTATTTAAGTTAGTGTATGCTTAGTTTCTGACTGGTCCTTTTTTATGTCTTTGATGTTCTCACTAATTTCCCTGAAATTTTCACTAAGGTCCTTGAAATTCTCACTAAGTCCCTTGAAGCTCTCATTAAGATGTTTGAGCATCCTTATAACTATTGTTTTGAATTCTGTCTCTAGTAGTTTGCTTGCTTCCATTTCATTTAGCTCTTTTTCTGGAGATTTCTGTTCTTTCACTTGTGACATGTTTGTTTGTCTCCACATTTGGCTGCATCCCTGTGTTTATTTTTATGTATTAGGTGGAGCTGCAATGTCTCCTGGAATTGGTAGAGTGGCTTTGTGTAGTAGGTGTCCTGTAGGGCCCAGTGGCTCAGCCTCCACAGTCACCTGAGCTGGCACTGTAGACTGTCTTGTAGTTGAGCCTTGATTGCTGTTGGCATCTCTGGGAGAAATTGACCCCCAGGCCAATTGGCAGTGAAGACCAGTTGCGACTACAGTGGAAGAGCTGCTATGCAAGAGACACCCTTATGGGGCAGGACTTGCTTCTAGGGGCTTTGGTGCTCACTGAGTCTGCCCCTTGAGTGTGTCATTTGTAGAGTTGTAACCTGGCATGGTCTGAAGCTGTCCACTGGGTGCACAGTCTCTGTGGTTACCCCTGCGGTCAGCCTCTGCCTGTGCCCTGCCTGGGGCTACCTGTCAGGAGCTACAGAGCGATCTGTAGATGGCTGCTACTTGTGTTGGGCTTGGAAGTGCCCAGGAGAGGCCAAGCTGCAAAACAAGGCAGGCTCCTGCTATTGCTAGGCCTGGAGCCTCTTATTGGGAGGTATAGGGCACACTGAGTCCAGCTACTATTTGTTTGAAGGATTTTAGGACAGGCAGAAGCCTGAGCCAGGACAGGCCATTCATATGGAGAAGCCGCTGCAAACAGCTTGGGTGGGGCTGCAGATTGGATGGGGCACGGTCTCAGGGAATCACCAGGGCAGAGCAAACAGTGTGAGCCAGTCTGATGGAAACTCAGATATGGTGGCTGTCATTCAGCTCTGTGTTGGGGGAGGTCCCAGTGCAGGAATAATGACCCCTGCGAGCACCCCTGTCTGGGAGAAAGCCGCTCCCAAGTTCTTGCCTGGTGTCAGACAATCCAGTTCCTCCCCTTATGTCCCTGGATCCCCCCTAAGCTGCTGCGTTGGAGCTCAGAGGAAGCGAATCTGAGTAAATCTGTGTGCCAGCCCTTTAAGAGGAACTGCCTGGTCTCCAGCAGCCTCTATGTGCGTCAGCGACAATCCCTACTGGTTTTTATAGCCTGAAGTTACGGGGACTTCCTGGCTCTGGAACCCTGGGCTGGGGGTCTGGTGTGGGGCTGGGACCCCTCGCTCAGCCTAGATATCCCTTCTAAAAAAACGGCACTCGTGGTTGTCGGACCAGCCCGTTCTCTGCCTTCACCCCTCCTATCGGTCTTGATACTCTTTCTTCTTTACTTTTCTAGTTGTAGGACTAGAGCCAGATTTCAGGCAGTTCTGAATGACGGTTCTGTATTTTAGTTGTAATTTTGATGTGGTTGTGGGAGGCGGCGAGTACAGGCATTTACCTACACCGCCATCTTGGTTCTCCAGACAGAACTTTCAAACCACACACATTCAGCAGGCTTCCGCTGCCGCTGAGGGAAAGTCACCGGTGGAATGGTTTTGTTTTATATCGAGCAAACACCATTTAGTTAAAATTTAGCATTTCATCTAAAGAATGTTAGCTTTGTGGGGGCAGGGCTCGGCCTCTGTGGTTGCTGTGCCCAGGACACCTGCTAGGACGAGGTCTGGCACGTGGGCAATCATAGTTGCCGGTAAGGTAGTGTCTCTCTTGATTTATTAGCATCCGGTAACTTGCAGCAGTTTTACCAGATTGTAAAAAACAATCTGTATTGCACAGATTTTCTGTGGATGGTTGGCATTTTCTTTATTTCTGACTCTAGGGTTGGAAGCAGGTTCCTCTTAAAGAAAGCTGTGTGCAGTGAGCAATAGTGGGCTCTGGAGCCCAGGAGAGGTGGGTGCTGTGGCTCTAAGTGGCCAAGGGGTGTCCCGCGGGCCGGCCTGCTCCCCTGCACGTGTGGGCAGGTGCATCTCCCTGCAGGGCCGTCTGCAGGATCGCATGACGCTCTCTGCAGGCTCTGGGGCGGTTAAGTAGTCATTCCAAGAAAGGATGCTTTCCTTCCCTCAAGGGTGGGTCCTCTTTCTAAAAGTTTCGAAAGTCAGGAAAGAACGCTTGATTGCTGATAGCAGAAAAAGAACAGTCATGGTTCGGTACTGTAACGGGGTCAGTCCTTACAGAGCGCTAAACCCAGGAAAAGTGAGTCAACTATTACATCACCACCTGGCATCGTTCTACCCTGAAATTGTGTGTCCTGTCAGTTTAGTCATTTAAACTTTATGGACTTTTACATAGTAACCATGGAAATATTTGCGTGACAAGGATTCCGCCAAAGTGATTTTTATGTGGTTAGATGGGTGTTCGGGGACAGGCCTAGCTTATCCTAAAAGTTCCCCGTCGTCCGTTCCTGCATTCTCCGCCTTCCTTTCAAAGCCGCTTCCCTCTGGCCTAATTCCGAGTGCAGATCATCCGGAGAGGTTCTGTGTGAGCTCTTGCTTGTTCACCCTCTCCACACTTCCCACCGGTCTCAGGTGCTGCATTTGTAGGGTCACCGTGGCATTCACTTGGGTGGGGGCTGGGGGACAGTTAGAATGGGGCAACAGTTTGGAGAAGACTTGGTTAAAACTCTTCAAGAAGTTCATTTTTTTTGTTTTGTTTTCTGTTGATTTTGAGAGAGAGAGGAAGCAGGAGGGAGAGAGAGAAATATCCATTGGTTGCCTTCTGTAAGTTGTCCCCTGACCGGCAGTAGAATCCAAAACGTTTTTGGTGTACAGGATGGCGCTCCAACCAACTGAGCCACCCGAGTTCACTTTTTGTTTGTTTGTTTGTTTTGTTAATTCTCACCCAAGGATATTTTTTCCATTGTTTTTTTGTTTTTGTTTTGTTTTGTTTTGTTTTGTTTTTGTAAAGGGAGAGAGTGGAAGGGAGGGAGGGGGAAAGAGGAACATGGATATGAGAGAGGCACATTGATTGGTTGTCTCTCCTGCACATGCCCTTACCGTGGCTGGGGATCCAACCTGCAACCCAGATACGTGCCTTTGACAGGGAATCGATACCAAACCCTTCAGTGTGGGCCGGTGCTCCAGCCATTGAACCACACCGTCCAGGGCAGGAGTTCACTTTTAAGTACTTTTCAGAAGCTATGACTCAACGTCAGTTTGATTTATAACAATAAATAAAATACAAAGTACAAAACAATTTTTTTTTTGCAAAAAATACAAGAGGAAGCTATATTTATGTCACCATGAGATCTGATGACCATAGGATTTTTAAGTATCTTGTGGTGTTTGAAATGGAACCTGCGTGTGTAATTGCGAGTACAGTTCAACATGTGACATGTTTCAGCCCGTGAGGCTCCTCGCTTCCAGTGCCTGTTTCTGCACTGCTCTCGGTGTGGGGAAGGCCTTCCTGGGGGCGAGTGGAGACATCTTCCCATGCGTGGTGGATGTTCTGAGGACTTGCCTTTTTGTTTCCTTTCATGTTGGCTGTCACGTGGCTTTAATGGCTCCATTAGCAAGCAGGTGTGGACATTGGTGACCGTGTAATGAAAGCCTCCCGCTTTTTTCTTCATCAGAGATGCCTTTGCTTTTATACCCAGAGCTTTTTCTGCCCCCACGTGAGGTTGCAGACTCGCACCCATTGGCTGGGTGAATAGGCAGAACACACAGTTGCGTTTGGACTTGGCCCTGTGGTGGCCCTGGCGAGTCGGCCCCGCGCTGCACCCGCCCGCGTAGGCACGCAGTCAGGCAGGCTGCCTGGTGTCCTTTCTCCGGTGTCGCTCATTGTGCTCCTAACAGAATGACCATTTCATCTCATACTCCTCTGTGATGTTGGAAATTATCCCTAGGAGTTTTACCTGGTATTAAGATCAAAGTCGTAGTTTTACTGACAACCTCAATTTTTATGTCCTCAAGTGTTTCCAGTGATTTTTATTCATTTGTGTGTGTGTGTGTGTGTGTGTGTGCACGCGCACACGCGCGCCTTCTTAAAGTGGCAGTATATGATTGATTGGCCAGGAAATTTTTGAATTTTGCAACGCAACTCCAACTTGGAGAAAGGATGTCATTCTTACATCCCTTACTCTTCAAGCAGAGTTAGGTGGCGGGTGAGCCACGATGATCCGTTACTGTAGGTCTGGAAGTCAGGGAGCTTCCAGAAATAGGAGTGTGCGTGAGCAAAGGGCTTGCTGCCTGCACACCTGTCCACCTGACCGTGGAAACAACGTAATTCCTGTTTTTGTTCTGTTGCAGTCTCCATGCAGCAGTCTCAGGCCCTACCTGTAGACATGCGTCCGGAGATGTGGATCGCTCAGGAGCTGCGGCGGATCGGGGACGAGTTCAACAACTCCTACCGCAACCCACGGAGGGTAATGAAGGTTTCTTACTTACTCACCCCCCTTCTCCCATGCTCCCTCCCCACCACATACAATACAGTGGCCAGTCATCATCCCACGCTTGTTCTAGAAGTGATGGGCGCGGCCTGCGTGTGGCCTGCCGTTCCTCCTTCCCGTGTCCCGTTGGTGTTATGGCTGAACTCAAGTGCTGGTGGCTCAGCAGAACCCAATACGAGGTGGCAAAGGGGGTTCGTGAGCACAAGCCTTAAACCATCGTAGATGCTTTGAAATAGTCCCACATAAATGTTATCATAGTTTCAGCCCATATTGGAGCGTCTATACTCCCGTTAGTCATTTTGGGTCAAAGTTAAAGAAACATGTAACTTTCCTTCCTCACTCAGCCAAGGAAATGAGGCCCTGTGGTTTGCTGGTGATGGGTCGGAGCGTGTGACGTTGTCCTTTTGGCCCCATTGGCTGTCCTTGGACTGTCATTTACTGAAACGTATTAGAAGTAGGAGGCCATTCATTAATGTCCTGTAAAAATTACACCTCTGCCGCAAAAATTTTACACCCCAAGTTGATTGCCACTTAAATTTTTGGGGTGTGCAGTTGATTTTTTTTTTTTTTAAATTAAGCCCTATGTCTTGTTCGGTAGACGCAGTGTACTTCCTGCTTGCCTGGTATTGGTAGACGTTACCATTGGGCAACTTTTCCCCGTGAAGACATCTGAGAGTGTGTGACTTCAACTCTGAGAGTTCACTGGGGCCCTTAGGAGCATGTTTGACTACGTCAGTGGTTCTCAACCTTCCTAATGCCACGACCCTTTAATACAGTTCCTCATGTTGTGGTGACCCCCAATTTCATTGTTACAAATTGAACATAATTAAAGCATAGTGAGTAATCACAAAAACAATATGTAATTATATATGTGTTTTCCAATGGTCTTAGGCGACCCCTGTGAAAGGGTCGTTCGACTCCCAAAGGGATCGCAACCCACAGGTTGGGAACCAGTGGACTACGTCCTGTGAGGGGCTCACCAGCCAGTGTGTGATTTCATGGAATTCTGGCTGGTTTACAGTTTTTTCAAACAACCATATATGGAGATATTTCTGTTGATTTATTTAAAAGGAAGACACTTACATCTTACTTTGTAGGAAATAAGTGTTAATGTCATTCCTACTGTGTCACTTCCTTTCTGAACACTATCATTGCATGTGAAGATATTTTTAAATCTCGTTTCTTCTGGAGGGAGGTGGTACTTAGGACACCTCCGTGTTTCTATCCTGCACTGAATGTTGGTGCAGTTGCTAAGCAAATAGACGTTACCTGTTAATAGCTTTCAATCATTCCTGCCCATATACGTACTTTCAAGCTTTTTTAAGCACATCGAGACAGTTTCCCATTTAATGGGGGGAGGGGGGGGGGAAGACTTTCATTTCTTTGGTGTAGAATCTCCATAAAGGGGTCAGGGACTTTCAGAAAACTCACATTGGATCCCCTTCAGACCTTCCTGTGGGAGAGAGGGTGGTGTGTGGTGATTGGTGGGAAATGTGTGACAGTGTGATTCTGTCATTAAATGGGAAATGTCACTTAGGAATTTCTTAGGATACTGTCTTTAAGCCGGCAAAATGTCTGGCATTCTAACCTAACCTGACATGGACCAGTTCACAGAACTTAAGTTCCTTCTCAGCCTAGATCTTGAAATGCTAGTTGTTTTTTGCAGGGTTGATTGTTTTATAATGTGCAGTAAAGTTACTGTTCCCCACTTCCTCTGCCGAGGTTTCTCTGAGGGGCTTTCGGGGGTGCTGTGTGTGGCTGGGCAGGACTCCTCAGCGAGGGCCCTGTGGGTGGGCCCTCGGTTGGTCCCCATGCTGAGGTGGGGGTCCCTGCAAGAGGGCAGGCTGCCTAGATCCAAAACCTGATTGATTCTGGATTGTGCCCATAATCAGCAGGAAGGTCACTGGGGAGCCTGGCAGCCCCTCGGGGTGAGTCTGGCAGTGAACCAACCCCAGCAGCTGGCCTGCCTCCTACACCGTCTCCAGGTGGGTTGGTAGATGTCTTTGGGACCAGATCTGTCCCAGAGATGAGGCCCTTGGGCCCTGGCGCCTTCAGTGTCCAGAAGCTCCGGACACGTAGATACATCAACACAGTCCTGCCCGGTGACTGTGCCAGAGCCTTTGGCCGCAGAGCCAGGTGTGTGGAAGGATGTTTTGTACATTTCTCTAACCTTATATGGAGAACCAGTGTCCACTGAGCTCTCCCCCGAGCCTGCCCAGACGGGTCTGGGTGATGCCCCTCTACGGGGGGCCTTAGGTGGTCAGTGATGAGACAAGGGCTAAGGATGACGTGGGGTTGGAACACAGCCATCCCTTCACCTAGGTTGTCGAAGGGGTGACCAGTTCTAGTCACGGGCAGATGAGACACAGGCCATTAGGTCGTCTTCATCACCTCGTCTCTCCATTGCAGGTGAGATGACAACATCTACCACGTCAGTAGCGTTCGATCATTCCCGTCCTTCCTCCCCCTCCTCCCACTTATTCCAGTTTAATGTTTAAGATGGTTGTGTCTCCTGTTGCAGATATGTAACCATCTGCTCTCAATGTATTTGGTAAGATAAGTGTCAATCTCATTGCATTCTTTTGCTATAAGTCGGCTGGGATACTGGGGGAAGAAGAGAGGGACATACAGACCGTAGGTTATAACCTGATGTTTCTAAAAAGGAGGCTAATATATCCTCCAGGTTTTATAAGTGGCCAGTTCAAACACCAGACTCTGAAACTCAGGGTAGTGACACAGTGACCCCGAGAGCCACAGGTGCCTGCCTTGATGGTGTTACATTAAACAGTCCATTGTCTGCAGTCACACTGACGGTTTATCCTTGAATATCGGGGCCAGAAATTCAGGGGAAACGGGGGGCCTTTGGGAAAGTGATGCCTTGAACGTTCACGCTGGCTGCGCACAGAAGCCTTTGCCCCTCGGCGAGCCTGCATTTCAGATTCTTGGTGCCTGTATTTGCTTTAACACCGTGACAGTACCTTTTCTGAAGTGTTGGTCTTTGATTGCCACGAGCCTTGCCAAGCCTGACAGGATATTCTCCCGTTTTTCCAGTTAGAGCAATAGAGGAAGTTGTCGCGTAGTTGTCGTGTGTTCAGGCCGCGTCAGGGCAGTGGGGCAGCGTATGACACGGAGCTGTGGAGTCTGAATCCTGGAAGCAGGAGTGAGAGAGGCACAGGTGAGCAAGTCCACTGCATGTTCCCTTCCCCTGTGACTCCGCGTGATGCCCCTAGTGACCTCCAGGGCCGGCGACACCCCTCCTCCCCATCTGAGGGCAGCTTCCCCGAGCCACGTCGGCCTGGTTTTGTGACATTCCGAAATCATTTCAGACTTACACAGGAGTCGCAAGAATGGCACGAAGCGCCCTCTCTGCCTGCTACCTCTGCTCTCCACTGTTACCCTTCCCACACTTGCTCTAACGCGTCCCTCCTAATACCTGTGTACATGTTATTTTCTGAAGGATTTGGGGATACGTTGCAGGCATGGTGTCCCTTTACTGTTAAATACTTCTGTGTGTATTTCCTAAGACGAAGGGTATTTTCTTCTGTAACCTCAGTGTAGTCATCAGAATCAGAAGCTAACCACGTTGCGGTAATGTTGTGTAGTCGGTGGACCTTATCCCCACGTGACCCACTGTCCCAGCCGTGGGTCATGTGTCCTCAGTGCTCAGCGTCAGGAGGCACGTGCCCTGTGCGCCCCGTGCTGCGGACTCTTGTTGAAGGTGGTGCTCCCAGCTGTCGTCAGCACTTTCCTGTGTTGATGGGAGGGACGCGTAACAGGGGGACAGCTCTCCTCTCTCCCCGGGCGTGTGTTCCTTCATCAACAAGTTCATGGGTCCCAGTGTATTTTTATTTACTTTATTTAATTTCGTTGATTAGAAAAAAATCATCGATATGTTTTCCCACTTATTTGTGTATTCATTGGTTGATTCTTGCATGTCCCCTGGCCAGGGATCGAACCCACAACCTTGGCCTAGCAGGATGACTTCCTAACAACTGAGCTACCAGCCGAGGCCGTGGGTCCCTGTTTAATTCAGGCGGTTATGATGTGTTACACTCAGTACTTATTTTGATGCTCAAATTGTCACAGGTTCGGCCAGTGGCAGCCGCCTGGTGTCTTCTCGCCACGTCATTGAACATAAAGTGTCAGGTAGTGGAGGCCCATGGACAGACAACGTGCTGTGGGACTGTAGATGGATGTGTGGCTAAATGACCTGCACCCACAGTGTCCTGACTCTTACAGCTCCAGGACTCTGCAGGGGGACAGGTGAGCGCGGGGCTGACAGTCATCGTCCCGGACAGACCTCTGCTCCCTGACTCCACCACTTCCTCACGGGTGGCACTGGTGCCCTGGGTTCCTGAGTAGCCTCTGCTAGTTTCTTCACCCTGAGAAACTGCAGGAGGGTGATCCAGGGCCCGGCCTTCCCTGCTGGAGAGGCGTCAGCAAGTGTGGGCGTGGTCACCCGAGGGTGCAGGGTGGCTTGCCCATGTGGATGGGCCAGGCTTGCGGTTTGAGGCTGTTGAGCGTGTGCTGGACCCTGCAGACCTGAAATCACATGCTCTTGGGGTAATTAGGCCCATCCTGTAGCCAGCGTGCCCCCAACCCCCAGCCCCCAGTACCAGGGTCTGTCCAGCCTGAGCCGGCCTGTGCTTGGTCCCTGCTGTTGAGCAGTGTCGGGATGTCCTGGTGGTGGATTGCAGGGGACAGCCACACACAGAGCTGTGGCAGACTCTCTGGATGGGCCGGGAGGTGGGTGAAAACCCTTTCATTGCTTGATCATAAGGAACAGTGTGTCTTTTGTTCACAAGGCCTACTTCCTACTTGTGTCCCAGGCGTGTGCGGGCATGAAACAAAGGGACAACCTGCAGGCGGAAGCGCAGCATGAACCAAAGCAAAGAAAAAAGGGGCTCACGCTGTTTTTATAAATGATCTTCCTTACGGATCACGTGCAAGGAAGAGGTCTGCACTGAGCCTGCTTG